TGACCTGCGCCCGGCCCCCTGTTTGGCCCTGCGGCCCCCAGGCCCCTTGTTTGGCCCCTCGGCCCCCTAGGCCCCCCGGCCCCTTGTTTGGCCCCGCGGCCCCTAGGCCCCTTGGCCCCACCTCATAGCCCAGCGCCCGGCCCCCCGGCCCCTTGTTTGGCCCCTCGGCCCCCTAGGCCCCTCAGCCCCCCTAGGCCCCCCCGGCCCCTTGTTTGGCCCCGCGGCCCCTAGGCCCCTCGGCCCCACCTCAGAGCCCGGCGCCCGGCCCTCCGGCCCCTTGTTTGGCCCCGCGGCCCCTAGGCCTCTCGGCCCCCTAGGCCCCTCGGCCCCTCGGCCCCTAGGCCCTCTTGTGTGGCCCCTCGGCCCCTAGGCCTCTCGGCTCCGCCCCTTCGCTACTACTACTGCTGTTCCTGCTGCTCCTACTGCCGCCCCGCACGCAGCCTAGATTGCCCACTATGACTTCTCTTCGTCGTCGCGGTGGAAGTGGTGACGGCGGTGGTGGAGGCAGTGGGGGTGGTGGCGGCCGTCCAAGCAGTCGCTGTGGAGCTATTCGGTGGGGAGCTTCTGGCGGTGGCCAGCAGCGTCAGCGCGAGTCCCTTACACCCCAGCAGCTACGTGAGTGGTGCACTAGTAGGGGTGGTGGCGGTGGCAGTAGTGGCGGTCACTCTGCAGCTGTTCACTTGGGAGTTCCTGGCGGTGGCCTGACGCACCTGCAGCGGCGTCCGCGCGAGACCCTTACGCCTCAGCAGCTTCGTGAGTGGTACGTTCAGCGTGGGGCGTCTCCGAGTAGTACTCGCTGCCCGTACGTCATTCGCACAGGTGACCAGGCTGGTCAGACTTGCGGGACATTTGGTCACACACAGTCTCGCTGCTTCTCCTGTCTCAGCGACACCTGGCGTGCAGAGTTTGGCGACACGACTGAGCTTCCCCGCTGGCTCGAGCTGGCTAGGCAGCGTGTGGATATCTTTGCTCTAGACTATGATGCTATTCTCACTGCTATGTATGCTTTGTCTTTTAGTGCAGAGGGTGACTGTTCCCGGTGTGTGCCACCTGACCCAGGTGTGGCGGCTGCTGCTCTAGATGCTAGTGCGTCTGGTACTCCCCCTGGTACTGCGCCTGCTGAGGCCTTGCACTCCTTCACGTTGGACTCCGGCGCCTCGCGCTGTTTCTTTCGTGACAGCACCACTCTCACTCCTCTCCCTGCACCTGTTCCGGTCAGACTGGCTGACCCCTCTTGGGGCCTAGTCGTTGCCAGTTCCTCCACTGTCCTCCCGTGTCCGGCGGTTCCGTCCGGCTCACTGTCAGGTCTTCACCTCCCCTCGTTCTCTACGAACTTGGTGAGTACCGCTGCCCTTCAGGATGCGATGGTCACTACCACCACTCCTGGGGGTCAGCGTGTGTCGATCTGCACGTGCACACGGACGGGGCGTCACCTGGCTACGTTCACTCGTCGGCCAGGGTCGAGTCTGTACACACTGGCTACTGAGCCTCCTCAGGTCGCTGCGTCTGCTCAGGTGTCCGCGTCAGGTCAGGTAGCCGCCTCTTGCTCGTGTCGCCTCCTGTCGCACCAGACTCTTCTTTGGCACCACCGCCTTGGTCACCCCTCCTTGTCATGCCTTCGTGGCATGCACTCCCGTCTCCTTGTCTCTGGTCTCCCCAGGTCTCTGCCTCCCCTGCTGCCCTCACCTGCCCCGCCCTGTCTTCCTTGCGTCGAGGGGTGGCAGCGCGCCGCTCCTCACTCCTCCTCGTTTCCCCTGACGACTGCTCCCCTGCAGACCCTCCACATGGACGTGTGGGGCCCAGCCCGCGTCAGTGGACAGGGCCGCGAGCGCTACTTTCTGCTGGTAGTTGACGACTACACGCGGTACACCACAGTCTTTCCCTTGCGCAGCAAGGGTGAAGTCTCTGCTGTCTTGATCCCTTGGATTCGCACAGTCCGTCTCCAGCTTCGCGAGCATTTCGGCCAGGACATTCCTGTCCTGCGTCTGCACTCTGTCAGAGGTGGTGAGTTCTCCTCCGACCTCTTGCGGGACTTTTGTCGTGGGGAGGGCATTCTCCAGTCGTTCACGCTTCCGGACTCCCCTCAGCAAAATGGGATTGCTGAGCGCCGCATTGGCTTAGTCATGGAGGTCGCTCGTACCTCCATGATCCATGCGGTCGCTCCCCATTTTCTTTGGCCGTTTGCGGTCCGGTACGCTGCGCATCAGCTCAACCTTTGGCCCCGTGTCTCCTTGCCGGAGACCTCGCCCACATTGCGTTGGACGGGGAAGGTTGGCGATGCGTCGGTGTTCCGGGTCTGGGGTTCTCGTTCCTTTGTTCGCGATACGTCCGCGGACAAGCTCTCCGCACGCGCCATTCCCTGCGTCTTCCTTGGCTTTGTCCCTGACGCGCCTGGCTGGCAGTTTTACCACCCCACCTCGCGCCGTGTCCTCCCTTCTCAGGACGTCACGTTCGACGAGTCGGTTCCCTTCTACCGTCTCTTCCCCTACCGCTCTGCCCCTTCCTCGCCCCCGCCGCTCTTCCTTGCTCCCGGTCCACCTCCGGTAGACCCCCTTCCGCCCCAGGGTCCTGCTCCCTCGGGAGTGTCTCAGGTAGACCCTCTCCATGGTACTGCGCCTGTTCAGGTAGCTGTCGTCTTAGGTGCTGCTCCAGGTGCTGCGTCTGGGGGTGCTGCGTCCGGGGGTGTGGAGCCAGGGGGTGCGGGGTCTGAGGGTGCTGGATCTGGGGGTGCTGAGCCTGAGGGTGTTGAGCCAAGGGGTGCTGAGTCGGAGGGTGCGGAGCCTAGGGGTGCTGAGTCGGAGGGTGCGGAGTCTGGGGGTGCTGAGCCTCGGGGTGCTGCTTCGTCTGGAGGTCCTGCTGGTGCTTCACCGCGACTGTCCTCGCAGCAGCTGCGTGAGTGGCTTGTTCTCCGCCCACACCGTCGGAGTGGAGCTCCTGGGGCTGGCGAGCCTGGAGACGCTGGAGCTGGAGGTGCTGCTGTTACTACTGGAGCTGGAGACCCTACGGAGCCTGGAGCAGCTGGCGCCGGAGGCGCTGGAGCTGGTGTAGCTGGAGTTGGAGGCCATAGCGCAGGAGGCGCTGGAGCTGCAGGAGCTGGAGCTGTTGACCCTGGAGCTGGAGGTGCTGGAGGCACTGTGCGGCGCGCCCGTACTTCGTTCCCCTGCTTCAGCAAGTTCTTGGTGTCCCGTCTTCTACTGGTCTTCCTCCTCCCTTCCTGTGTCCACCGCCTGACCAGTCGCAGCCGCCGTTACAGAGCGTCGTGAGCCTGCGTCTCGTCCTGTCTCGCCTGTTCGCACTGCTCGTCGCGCTCCTCGTTCGCGTCCTCCTCCTGTCCTAGGCACGCACACTATGGCACTCCGTCCTTCCTCTGTTCCACTGCGTGTTCCTCTGCTTGCTCCTCCTGAGTCCTCTCTTCCTGAGGCCCCTGGCCCTGAGTCTGACCGAGCGCGTGCTGCCAGTCCCACTGTCTCTCGTCTCCTTGCCACTGCTGTCACTGACCCTTCCTTTGAGTCTGCTGCTGCTTCTGCTCTCGTTGCTGAGCTGCTTGACTTTGCTGCTGCCTGCCGTCTCGACTACGCCTTTGCTCTAGTTGCTGAGTCTGTGTCTGCCAGTCCTCTGTCTGTTGGGGGTGAGTGTGCTCTTGGCATGGACGTCCTTGAGGACAGGCAGGAGGACTTTGAGTGTCTTGCAGCTGCTGTACCTCGTTTCGCTTCCTTGCTGCTTGCCCCTGAGGGAGACCCGGATGCTCCAGACATCCCGACCCCGCGCTCTTACGTAGAGGCGATTACGGGTCTTTACTCCTCTCAGTGGCAGGCAGCTATGGATGCCGAGATGGCATCCTGGAAGTCCACAGGCACTTACGTCGACAAGGTTCCCCCACCTGGGGTGAACATAGTCGATGGCATGTGGATCTTCAGGGTGAAGCGGCCGCCGGGTTCTCCGCCTGCCTTCAAGGCGCGCTACGTTGCTCGAGGTTTCAGTCAGCGACAGGGAGTTGACTACTTCCAGACCTTCTCCCCCACCCCGAAGATGACTACTCTTCGGGTGTTGCTGCACGTAGCTGCTCAGCGTGACTACGAGTTACACTCCCTGGACTTCAGTACAGCCTTCCTGCAGGGCAGCCTGCACGAGGAGATCTGGCTGCGCCGACCACCTGGTTTCACTGGGTCGTTTCCTACAGGTACCCAGTGGAGCCTCCGCCGGCCAGTCTACGGTCTCCGCCAGGCGCCTCGCGAGTGGCACGACACACTCAGGACTACACTTGCGGCTCTTGGGTTTGTTCCTTCTACATCATACCCGTCGCTGTTTCTACGCACCGACACCTCGCTGCCGCCCTTCTACGTCCTATTGTACGTCGACGACCTCGTCTTTGCCACGGCTGACACTGAGGCACTGACCCTAGTGAAGTCCTGAGGAAATCAGGGTAAAATTCCTGACTTCTGAGGGCCTGGTCCTAATTCTTAATGCTAGTTGAGCGGGGCATAACTGTCAAGTCTTCAGCCACAGTGTCCAAGCCTTAAGTGCGTAGCTGTCACATGTGAAGACCCAACATACCTAAAACAAAGGCAAATCTAGCTTTCCTGTTTTAGCAGCTTACTACGGTACCACCATAAGGAGTTTCCAGGGTTTCACTTTCGCGTGTAACGAGTGGGCGTTCGAAGAGGACACTTCGGTGATGTGACGGTAAGGGGGGTGGCGGCAATCCCAAGGCCGTGCGGAACACTCCATCAGACCAATCCCGGATGGAAGAAATATCAAGCAGAACATGCACCGTTTCTACGAGTCTCGCTTTGTTCCATCGCTGTGCTCCACCACAGTTTTGCTGCGCGCTGCAGCAGAAACTAGTCACAGCATGCTGCCCCAGCGATAGCTGTAACACGCCCTTCCCAACAGTCTGCGATTGCAACGCAACGCGCAGGGAATTTTAGATTAGTCCTCGATCGCGGGTTTCTCTCTCCTTTCCCTTTTATCTACCACATTATACGTACCAGCGTGCGACTATGGCGGATTACCACACGGTGTATAAGGAGCCAGATGGCACAACGACGGAATGGGAAGACCTTCAGGTAGGAGCGCCGTTTGCCCTCTTGTGAACCATCGGTGTGTTTGATCCCGTTCTCGTAGAAAAATCCCCTGCCTGTTTGGCCAGCGTGCGACCATGGCGGACTACCACACGCTGTACTATTTTTGAGTCGACTCAAAAATACCACACGGTGTACAAGGAGCCAGAGGGCTTTTGAGACGTCTCGAAAGTCGATTACCATACAGCGTACAAGGAGCCAGAGGGCACGACGACGGAGTGGGAGGATCTTCAGGTAGTTACGCCTTTCGCCCTCCTGTAATCATTTTTGGTGTCCGCTCCGGTTCCTATAAAGACGTCGCGTGCCAGCTCGCGCAGATGTGCCTGGAATTGATGTTAAGTACACTCCGTCGGAGTGGGAGGACCTTCAGGTTGTAATGTCGCGCGCTACTGCTGTTGATGAACACAATAGGAGGGAGTTTGTGTTCTTTCTGAGGTTTAAAAAAATAAGTGATGGTGCTCAGAGACAATGTAATTTGATATAATCAAGGCATGGTAAAATAAGTCCACGCAGTGTGATTCCGGTGGCTCACGGGAGAGCATGTTTGTTTGGTCCGGTTCAGGAACAAGCAGAGTTTGAAAGGAAGGGAGATTGCAGCAGTTAAGGGATTTGGAAGCTCCGGATACTTTTAAAGTTGCCGCTTCTGGATCTTAACGCAGCCTACCGTTGCTTGGCCTTGCTCTGTGGTTTGCACTCAGAGCTGTCTCCTGTTTGCCCAGGGACCTTAGGGGGATCTGTACGGCAACACAAAGGACCAGATTTCCTTCTGGAATCACTCATAAGATCAAGCAACTGCCGTCCTCCGTCTCCCTTGCTGCAATCTCGTCTCCACTTCTGCTGCTGTCTTCTGATGCGCCCCAAACACGGCTTCTCACCACATTATTTAATTTTCCTGGCAGGTGAATTTCGGCAAATCTTCTCCGCATGAGAAGGCCAAGACAGCGGCGTGGGAGGCGGCCAGCTCATTCGCTCACCACCACCCGTTCTCCAAACCCTTGGTGCTTGTCCTCCCTCCCCTGGCAGGTGAAATACGGCAACCTTGCACCGCGTGAGAAGCCCAAGGCAGCGGCATGGGAGCCTGCGGAGGAGAGAAAGCGCACAGATGAGCTGGATACGCGCACAGCTGATGAGCTGGACGACCTGGAGGATGACGTGGATGATGACCGGTTCATGGAGGAGTACAGGTGGGATGGACACGTGGCATGGGGCTAGAGCAGGTGGGATAGACACGTGCCATGGTTGAGGGAGTGCAGGTAGGATGAACACGTGGGATGGATACATGGAATGGATACGTGGGATGGATATGTGGGATGGAAACGTGGGATGGACACGTGACTGGGAAACGTGGGAAGAGGTTGGGGTATGGAGGTGAGACGAATGTGAGGGGATTTGAGGATGCGGGATGCGCATGGGGATGGGGATGGGGATGTGTATGGGGATGGGGATGCGGGACGCGCATGGGGATGGGGATGCGGTTAAGAATGGGAATGGGGATGGGGATGGCATGGGGATAGAAATAGGATGGGGATGGGGATCAAGGTTCAAAAATACGGTAAATGTAAATTACGGCTCGTAAATTACGGTCGTAATTTACGGTGGTTTTGGCAAAAATACGGTCGTTTTTTTAATGGACTTTTTTTGCGGCAGTTTTTTTTTCCAGAAACTTCAAGAATGCTTGCAACGATGACTAGGAAGACGACAACAAACTACACTACAGAGAAACAAGCCTATAATGGACCACTGCACCACTACCATTGCTAAGCCTACCTAGTAGTACCTACCTTTAGGCTAAATCTGCTCCTACACTACGCGGGAAAAAAACACCCTACGCGGGAAAAAAACACACTCGCGTGGATTTGGGTGCGCGAAATTTCTCACAAGCAGGGTGACGGTTGGGAAATGTCGAAATTCGCTAGACATAAACTCGGTTTCAAAATTTCGGTCGTAATTTACGACCGTATTTTTGAACCAAACCAATTTTGCAAGGTCGAACCGTTTTTTACCGTAATTTACGACCGTAAATTACGATACCGTAATTTACGGTAAAATTTCAAAAATAAGGTCGTATTTTTTAACCTTGATGGGGATGGCATGGTGATAGAAATAGGATGGGGATGTGGAAGGCAGCCAGCCAGCCAGCCAGCCAGCCAGCCAGCCAGCCAGCCAGCCAGCCAGCCAGCCAGCCAGCCAGTCAGCCAGCCAGCCAGCCAGTCAGCCAGTCAGCCAGCCAGCCAGCTAGTCAGCCAGTCAGCCAGCCAGCCAGCCAGTCAGCCAGTCAGCCAGACAGCCAGCCAGTCAGCCAGTCAGCCAGCCAGCCAGCCAGTCAGCCAGCCAGCCAGCTAGTCAGCCAGTCAGCCAGCCATTCAGCCAGTCAGCCAGCCAGTCAGCCAGTCAGCCAGCCAGCCAGCCAGTCAGCTGAACCCCAACCTCCTTCAGCTCCGCTACCACTCCTGCCATATCCCCCTTCTTTCCCCCTTTCTGCTCCCCCTTCCCGTGCCCTGCTCTCTCAGTCCCCCCTCATGAGGCCGTGCATTCTAGTGCTGAGGGCAGAGACACCACACCACAGCCACGGTATGGAATTGGCGGATAAACCTCAAGAGCAGATCAGTGGAGGAGAACCCCCAATCACCCCCAAGCAGCACCCCCCCATCCTCCCCCTCCTCCTCCGTCTGTCTTTTCCGGCTGTTGCCCCAAGAGGCGGCGGGTGGCAGAGCTGAGGGAAGCAGCAGGACGGCTGCGGTACAGAGAGGTGGAGTGGAAGCACTGGAATTACTGCTAACCCCTTTCCCCTTCCCCCCTTCCACCCTCGTTCCCCCATCTTCCGTCCATTCTCCCTACGGTTTATCCCTTCTCAGGAGGCAGCGGGTGGCGGAGCTGAGGGCAGCAGCAGCACGGCCGCGGTACGGAGGGGTGGAGAGGATTACGGGGCCGGACTTCGTGAGGGAGGTGACGGAGGCGAGTCAGAGCGTGTGGGTGGTGGTGCACCTCTTCCGTGACAGGTGGGTGGGTGCCCCTTGCGAGACAGGTGGGTGGGTTCCCCGTGCATGAAGAGCTGGGTTGCTGCTGCACGAGTCATGTCATGCATAGTTGCTTAGAAGCACGCACTTGGACTTGGTGAGGGAGGTGACGGAGGCGAGTTAGAGCATGTGGGTGGTGGTGCACCTCTTGTGAGACAGGTGGGCTGTTGCTTCATAAAGGCGTGTGAGCCACGTGGCTGTTTCTTTCACACGTTCCTGAAATTGTTTTGAGCCACGTGGGCTGTTGGTGAACCAGGTGTGAGTTGTTGGTTTGAGACGTCTCACAGAAGGTTTTCTTTTGCCATGCAAGGCAGGTGAGCAGCACTTTCAAGACAGTGTGGGCTGGCTGAGTGAGATATGCTCTCAGGGGTTTATCAAAAGGGATTGGGTCCAGTGTGTTGGTTGGTGACAGTGCAGTGCACCTTCCTCGAAACTTAGCTCTCTTGCTGCTTGCGGCATGTCTCTTGAATGGAACTGCACCAGAGCAAAGACTTTTGAGGGGGCTCACAACTTGAACTGCACCAGAGCAAAGACTGCCATGGTAACTGCCGTTTTCCTAGCTCATCAAACCACATCCCTCCAGGCATAGTTTGTGTTTATTGTGAGCACAGAGTGTATCCTCAACTACTCTCCCTCCCCGTCCGCCCGCCCCCCATCCCATCCCATCCAATCCCCTCCCCAGTGTGGCAGCCTGCAGCATCACCAGCAACTGCCTCTCAGAGCTCGCCCAGTGCCACTCACACACCAATCTAGTGTGCTATTGGGCACACAACTTATCCCCAGTGCCACTCGTTATTCCTGCACCCAAAATAAGAGTGTTTCTGAGACGTCTCAAAAGCACTCTTTTTTCAGTGCCACTTGCACACCATTCGAGTGTGCTAGTGAGCACACAACTTATCCCCAGTGCCACTCTTTATCCCTGCACCCTCTCTACCATCCCATCCTCTCCCCAGTGTGGCAGCCTGCAGCATCATCAGCAACTGCCTCTCAGACCTTGCTCGCTCGCACCCGCAGACCAAGTTTGTTCGCATAGTGAGCACCGAGTGCATCCCCAACTACCCCGATGCGCACCTGCCCACGCTGCTCGTGTACCACAAGGGGGCCCTCAAGGCCACCCTGGCTGGCATGCACCAGTTTGGAGGAAAGAACTGCACCACACAAGGTGAGTGAGACTTATTTCAATGTTCTTTTGTGGTTATGTGAGGTAGCTCGCTAGTTTACGATTTGATCCCTTTTTTGTGCTGTTTTATGCTAATTGTGTTTTTTTGTGCTGGTTGCAGATGTGGCGTTTGCGTTGTGCAAGGTTGGGCCTGTTTTAGCAAGCGAGGACGAGGATGAGGAAGCAGTGATGGAGCGGGTACAAAAGGATTATGTAAAAAACATTGTGAAGAGGCATGTGGAGAAGGGAGATGATGAAGATGATGATTAGACATGGGTTTTGCTAATGTCCTGTGTGTTGTATTACTGCTTTTCAAATACCTGCAACGAAGCTTCTACGGTAAGTGCATTTTTTGTCCAAATGATTGAAATTACAGGATTTGTGTGAGGAGCCCATATGAGTACGTGTTTCGCCTGCTCTTGTTGGTGTTTGTCTATAACGAATCCATCAGCCACTTCGTCACCAGCATGTCATTATCCACCAATCAAACGGATCAAAGTGGCATCAGCGAACCACTGGCAAATATATTGCACTGCGTGCTGACGCACGCAGTGCAATATATTGAAGAATGTATGGTTCTGTGATTACGGTTGAGAACGGTTCAGAGAATTTTCCTAGGGTGAGCGGGCTGCAGAATTCTGTACATCCACCAATCCAAATCCAATCACCTGCTTCGTCAAGGCCGCCATTGCTGTGACCAGCTTGCTTGACTGGAGCCTGTTAGCTGTTGCACACACATCACCCTACTACTAAGAGCAACAACTACTCCGGCCATTACGGTCGGTTCTGAAGCTCGTAGAGGTCGTCCCTTGTCTGGTTTGTGCTCTCGTACAAGCGACGTATTTCGTAATATATTTGGTCGTTCCTCCGTCAGTCAAGGGTGTGTCTCCTCAGAGTCGTCAGGGTTGTCCCAGTGCAACCAGATTGTTCCAACTCGCAGAATCTGACAAACTAGCTTCTACTCCGCATGTCAGAAATTTGGCCGTCTGTGTTCTCTGGTGGACTGTAGTAGACTAGGGAACATTCGGAGCTTCTTCTTACCAGGAAATTGGTTGTGATTAGACCTCGACCATTTCGCTACTTCTCGCAGCTTTCGTTCGAGTTTTCGCAATCCGCTCTCCGCCGCTCTCTGTCTGAGCATGTCGGACCCCACAAGAGCCCCAACAGGTTCGCGAATGGGTACAGCCTGGTACAGCGTAGTACAGCCTGGTACAGCGTGGTACAGGAATTACACGTTTTGAACATGATATGGGCTGTACTCCTAGCCGTAGGTGTGACTGCCCTACAGGTATGTATGAACGGTATGTATGAACGGGATACAAACAAGCAGCCGTGGTACGGACGGACACGGAAAATGGTCGTTAATGTTATATTTTTACTTGTTTTTTGATGAATCTCTCTCTTATTCTTTCCCTTCTCCTCCCCTTTTCCTAATTGGCCTTTCTCTCCCTCGTACTCTCCCCCTTGCCGTCACTGCCTGATCTCCAATCGATCTCTCGCCATCTCCATCCCTCCCCTTCTCCCCCCACACCATTTTTCTGTCCCCACACTGGCAGCGATTCTTGCTGAGTTCGCGGCACACGAAGAAGGTGAGATGGCGGTCACAGTGTGCAAGTGAAGGTATTGTGAGTGTGTCTCTTAAAGCCATTGGTGCCGCGTATGTTTTTTGAGAATTCTAAAAAAAACATAAGATGGCGGTCACAGTGCGCAAGTCAAGGTATTGTGAGTGTGTCTCTTAAAGCCATTGCTGCCGCATCGCTGCGTTCGCATTGACCTGCTCGCCATGCATGCCTAGGATGCCAGCTACCCCTGCACGGCACGGTGCAGCGATGCGGCACGGTGTCTATGCTCCGTATCTCGTATCATGTATCGTGTTTGAGAATTCTCAAGGATAGATTCTGAGATACAAGCTTTGCCATCCCATTCCACATTTCTCCATTTCCCCATGCCCCCATCCGCCCATGCCCCAGCCATCCAGCAGCAGGACCACGCATACCTGCACCAGGCAGTGGCAAAGGGGAACGACCGTACGCAGGCATGAAGGTGCACTGACTGTCCCCCTATCGCCTCAATTCCCCATGCCATGCCCGCCCATGGCCCCCCAGCCATCCAGCAGCAGGATTCCACATGCTTCAAAGTTGAACCAGGCCGTGGAGCAGGCGTATGGGGGCGTGCGTGAAGGTGCACCGAACCTCCCCTGCCTTGCTGCTCCCGCATTCCCATCCCCCCATCCCTCCCTGCTCCCAGCCATAGCAGGAGCATACATATTTGAACCAGGAAGTGGCACAAGCGTATGAGGGTGTGAAGGTGCGCCAACTCTCCCCTATCTTGCTATTCCCGCATCCCCCCATCGTCCCTCCCCCCACTGCCCAGCCATCCAGCAGCAGGATCACGCATACTTGAACCAGGCGGTGGCACAGGCGTACGAGGGTGTGAAGGTGGGCGACGGGGGGCCGTTTGGGGCCGTGGTGGTGCGCGAGGGGGAGGTGGTGGCGGCGTGTCACAACATGGTGCTAAAAAACACAGACCCCACTGCCCATGCTGAAGTCACGGCAGTGAGAGAGGTATGGCATACCATGGTAGGGCTCTCTCTGTGTGTCTTTGTGCATGTGTGCACAGCATGCTGGTGGCTTGAGAGGGAGAGGTGGTGGCAGCAAGTCACAACATGGTGCTGCGGACCACGGACCCCAGAGAGGTATGGCATACCATGGTAGGGGTCTATCTTTCGCTGCACTCATTGCCCTTCCTCTCCCTGCCTCTCCTCTCTCCAGGCGTGCAGGAAACTAGGCCGCTACGACCTGTCAGACTGCGAGCTGTATCTCCTGGTGATGAGCCATGACCTGTCAGACTGCGAGCTGTATCTCCTGGTGATGAGCCATGACCTGTCAGACTGCGAGCTGTATCTCCTGGTGATGAGCCATGACCTGTCAGACTGCGAGCTGTATCTCCTGGTGATGAGCCATGACCTGTCAGACTGCGAGCTGTATCTCCTGGTGATGAGCCATGACCTGTCAGACTGCGAGCTGTATCTCCTGGTGATGAGCCATGACCTGTCAGATCAGACTGCGAGCTGTATCTCCTGGTGATGAGCCATGACCTGTCAGACTGCGAGCTGTAACTCCTGGTGATGAGCCATGACCTGTCAGACTGTGAGGCACATTCTAACACAATGCCCTCTGTTCCATCTCTTCATGTGCTTCCTCACGCTTCTCCCCAACCCCAGGCATGCAGGAAACTAGGCCGCTACGACCTGTCGGACTGCGAGCTATATGCGTCGTGTGAGCCGTGCCCCATGTGTTTCGGTGCCATCCACCTCTCCAAGATCAAGGTGCGCCATCCACCTCATGTATGCGTCGTGTGAGCCGTGCCCCATGTGTTTCGGTGCCATCCACCTCTCCAAGATCAAGGTGCGCCATCCACCTCATGTATGCGTCGTGTGAGCCGTGCCCCATGTGTTTCGGTGCCATCCACCTCTCCAAGATCAAGGTGCGCCATCCACCTCATGTATGCGTCGTGTGAGCCGTGCCCCATGTCTTTCGGTGCCATCCACCTCTCCAAGATCAAGGTGCGCCATCCACCTCATGTATGCGTCGTGTGAGCCGTGCCCCATGTGTTTCGGTGCCATCCACCTCTCCAAGATCAAGGTGCGCCATCCACCTCATGTATGCGTCGTGTGAGCCGTGCCCCATGTGTTTCGGTGCCATCCACCTCTCCAAGATCAAGGTGCGCCATCCACCTCATGTATGCGTCGTGTGAGCCGTGCCCCATGTCTTTCGGTGCCATCCACCTCTCCAAGATCAAGGTGTGCCCTTCCGCGCCCCCATCCTCCTGCTCCTCCTCTTGGCCGACACCTAAATAGACAAATCTTTGGCTCTCAAGCCTACTAGCCTGTGCATTCACCATTTCTGAGGTGCATCCACGCTTTTCTGAGAAACTTCAAAAGTCTTCTCTCGCCTTCAAGCCCACCAGGAACTTTTGACTTTGATGCCCCATGGATAACCACGTTTTAAGAGCGCGGTACATTGTTGTTAAGATGTGTTCAAGTGGCATTCAAGAATTCAACAGTTCTAGGGTTTTTGGGTTCCTTGATTGGTTACAAGAGTACAGTCCTAAATGTACCAGGCAGGCCTGGACGACAGGTCAGCAAAGCTGGCGGTGGTGATGGCGACAGTGGGGGCAGTGAGGGCAGAGGCGGACGTGGTGGTGCAGTGCATGGGGGACAAGAGGGCTGTGTGGGAGGCTGCCTTGGTGTCAACCTTCCTGTACATACGCGTCTATACATGACAGCGTTGACACCAAGGCAGCCTCCCACACAGCCCTCTTGTCCCCCATGCGCTGCACCACTGCGTCCGCCTCTGCCCTCACCGCCCCACCATCGCCATCACCGCCGCCAGCTTTGCTGACCTATCGTTCAGGCCCGCCTGGTGGGGTAACACGGAGGGGGGGGAAGGAATTAGACAGCACGGAGGGGGAGAGTGATTGGATAGCATGGAGAGGGAGAGTGAAATCACAGCACAGAGGGAGGGGTGATTTGAAGAGCACGCTCACCTTCATGCGTGCGCATGTTTTCTCCATACTCCTTATGTAACCACCAACTTCTTTAGCCTCTCTCGTGCGACCACCACGCTTTAGCTTGCCCAAATGCTGCTACCGACTCCAGCACCAACTCCACAGCTCCAGGGTGTTTTTGAGAATTCTCAAAAACACCATGCTGCTACCGACTCCAGCACCAACTCCACAGTGGAACCCATGCATTGCACTATCTCCCTACCTACCACTAGCAAGTCGACATAACCTCTCCCCACCTCCTCCCATCCCCCCCTCCCCATTCCCCCTCTCAACCGCACAACCACCCACCAGTGGCTGGTGTACGGGACGCCGGCAGAAGCATCAATGGCCATTGGCTTTGGCAATACTAATGCTGATGAAAAATGGGTTGCTTCTTACTAACCCCCGCTCACACCCTCCTGCCTTCTCTCGCCTCCCCACCACTCCCACCCCTTTCCCAACCCACCAGCGGCTGGTGTACGGGGCACAGGCAGAAGCAGCCCTGGCCATTGGAAGCTCTCACATTGATTGTTGATTCATCGGGTTTGACGATTTCATTGCTGATGCCATTCACGGCACAGCCTACTACCATACGTTCACACCCTCTCAATCTTCTCCTCCCCACCATCTCAACTCCCCGTCTTCCGATTTTTCTCCCACCAGCGACTGGTGTACGGAGCGCAGGCAGAAGCAGCGCTGGCGATCGGGTTTGACGATTTCAT